CGGCCTTGATCATCACGGAAAAAGTTCGGCCCAATGACGCCGCCGGCTCATAAACAACACCAAACAACCCCTACAACACCCTAATATTTTCGAAAAGCAATGGTGATACATATAGTACGTAGGAATGTACTTTCACAGGAATAAAGAATTTCATTGTTTTGTTTTATTTAACACAAAAAAAAAACTTTTGTATCGCTCTTATTAAAAGTCAGCTCTTAAAGTTGATCGCACTGACTCCGAATTTCGAGGAGGAGTTTTTGGTAAGCAGCTCTCCGTCAATCCCATCTTTAGGCTATCGAATCACTGTAGTTTTTTCAGGCGGAAGTAGCYGCTATTAAGGTGACAGTGAATATACTGTTACGCTGTGCAGCCTTTTTCAGAGAGACCAGCAGTATCTCCGACCGCTGAGCGAYAATAATAGCGCTGAACTCGGTAACTGTGCTCTTAAAGCTTGTGGCTTAAGCGAGATCGCTGGATCTCTACGGTACTACCTGCCGTGCCGGACGCAAGTTGTATAGAAAATGGTGGGRTGAAAACATCCAGGCACTGTCTTTTTCATTGTCCAACCTTTGCTAGACTGAGGTTGAAAAATTTCTGTAATTTTATCTTCGGCGAACCAGGAGACTTAGCCGAAACTGACATTAGCCATCTCAACAAGTTTGTGGTAGACCTAAAGCGCTTTGTCGATTTGTGAGGATATTATGATCTAAATATTATAATTAGATTTATCGGCCAATATAAGAGTTATTTTAATGAAGTAGAGAGCATATTTTCCTAACAACAGTGTAGCTTTGTACCTAAAATGGATAAAATCGGGTGAAAAACTTCTCTAGACCCCATACTACTTTATGCATTAGATATTTTCTCCGCTTTAATACTGGCAGTTTGTAAGAGTATGAAATTTTCGGTTACATCCGAGCTCAGCCTTTCGTTCTTCTTTACTACGGGGTTATAGCCCTTCGTTTGTTTCTTTTAGCGTTGTCATGATGAAGGATCATTTCCTCGTGTCTAGTCGTAAATTCTACGCGTATTTTGGCAATCGGTCGCTTCCATTTGATGAGTTGTTGTCGTCAGCGTTCCCCAWTTATTCAGAGTTTTGTCAGTAATAAAGTTAATAGATTTTTCGACTGAAAACATTCTAAATCAGCCGCATACTATGTACACTTGTGCTCATATAATTAAGTCACCTAAAGAAAAATGTAGTTATTCGAAGTATACGAAATTTTTTTTCAGTTTTACCTTACCTAAGACTAAGACTTAGTTGGATAACCTTTATTACGTAKCACCTCAGTACATCGCTTAGGACTTATTTTGTACCACTCTGCCYGTATTATTTCCCATAAAGAATCTTTGTTGCGAGTTTTTCGTGCAGCTACGGCTCTTTTTATAATCCTCCATAGGTTTTCTATAGGGTTTAGGTCCGGACTTTGAGCTGGCCAATCCAGAACAGATGGGCTAAGCGAATGAACGCAATATTTTTTATTATTTTAGAAGTTAAATAAAAAATAAGTATTCTGTTTTGAACTGAATTAAAATTTCTTCCATTTTTTGTAAAATTYAGTTTCATTCCTGTACCATAGAAGTTGCTTTGAATAAAATTTCGTYCTGTTACTGGCGTGACTTAATTATGTGAGCATAATTGTATATTAGCATGTAATAGTTACTAACTATTATATTTAGCAATAAAAACTAAAAGCTAATCCATAAATCGTAATAGCGGTTGAAAATGCTTTGAATACATTTAGGTTTAACGTGCTCTTTATAAAATACCTCAGCAAAGATTACATTTATCTGCGTTTGTCAATTACACGAAAGCAATTAAAGTGCTGAGTGCTCTCAATTATTTGAATATTTCAATTTAGTTTTGAATAGGAAATTTATTGTATTACTAGTTAACTTATCTATATTAATTTAATTAATTAATATAAAAATTAAACTTGAATATTCACCTGGTCTCAGCGCTCGGCTATTTCTTTTCATTCAACATTATCTGTATCTTATACACATCTAGATGTGTATAGGATTCATATCTATTTTGAGGGTGCTGAAATGTTTCTCCCTTTTATCTTAAAATAAATGACCAATCGCGGTAACAGTTTTCCTCCAACTTTTTTTCATTGTATATTTTTGAAAGTGGTGGTTTTATTACAGTTCTGCTGAGTTTGATGCCAGATCTCTGAAGTCTGTCCTCTATAGGATCTAGGATATATATGTATCTCCATTATCCCTTTTTAAACAATTTTTTAGCTCGTCGTAATTTTTAGTTAACACGTGATTCTTCTTTCTCCCTGGCTTATATTTTACGTTTCCAGTGTTTCCATAAAAGTCAGACGAGCTCTTCACAAATTTTCGACTCGTATTTAAATATTTGGCCGTTTTTTTTTTTCAATACAATTCCAATCACATTTCACAATATACTAGATGCTTTGYTTATTTTCGGCTATCTCGATCAATCTCATATTTCGATCATCTTGTTGATATTTCCGTTTCATGAAATCTTGTCCAATTTATCGCTTAAGTAAATATTTTGGATCTTGGGATTTGTCAAGTTGGAGAGCGTTTTTTAATTTCCTTATACACCCCTAACATTGTCTAACTTTTTCTATAAAATTCGTAGTTTTGCCGTAAATCGAAACCTTTAAAACCTTTCAACCGTTAAAAATTCATCTACACCCCTCCACTTCCTTTTTTCGAACACAGATATTTTTTCTTAATGTTTGATATTTTATATTTCATTTCCCATGGATTTCATTCTACTGTGATTTTTTGTCTCTTTTTATCTACCCTGGTCTATGCTTACATCACTGTACAGAGCTTGCGCACACTGTATCGATGTMGAGCTCTCTTGCCATCTCTCAACAACTTGCCGCATGATTTTCAAGCACCATATCCTACACTTTTTTAATATTTTCATCAGTTGAAGARGTCGGAGGTCGTCCATACCGAAGTATGTCTGCAACGATCTCTCGACCGTCGGCTTGTGTGTTTTAGATACACATGAATCATCGCAAACCGTTTCCAACATTCGCAACGCACACGGAATTTGATTATTAATGCAAAGTTTAGAACCAATCCTTTGTTAAATAATTTTATCCATTGTAAAAATCGCAAGGAACTACTTAGGTGTACACAGCTGCTATAAACTAACTGGTGAACAGATCGTGCTCATATTCGGCATATTAATTAAGGGCAGTCCTACCAACTTAGCAAGTTTATTACAATTTTCGGGTAATTTTTTGTTGCAATGTATTACAGTAATCTAATATTTTGACGTAAGAATTTTTTTTATTAAAAATTAGCGTTTTTTCGATTTAAGGTCAATATTAGTGGAAGAAACGAATATTTTTATTCAAGGATTGCTATTATTATTGTTTTTACTTAATATTTAATTTTTACTTATTGTGCCATTTTTTATTCCAACTTTAATACTTTCCAAGCTTTTGAGAGTTGTGGCTCTTAGAAAGTTGAAAAGATACATTTCTGATCATTGACTACTCTTAAAATAAGTTGATTTTCTTCTTCATTATAATTTATTTACTTCTAAATTCTTACAAATATAAAAGAAATAGTACTTAACTCCTTAAGTGCTTATCATTGTAAAAGTTTGTGAGATATWTAAGATATTTTAAACCTAAATATTATAACTAATTTTTTAATATCATATCCGGGCAACATAATAAGTTTAGTATATTTTTTAAATACACGACAAATTCAAAAATCTTGTCCACGGCTACGTTTCAGATGGAGCATCCGTTGAGTTCAATTTTCGATGAACYCTTCGAGCATTTCGACTTCAGTTTTCGCACAAGTTGTATTTTGTACTTTTTTAATTTAAGATCTCGTCGTAAAATGCGCCAAGCCGTTCCACACATCACTCCTAGTTGCTGCGAACGGCGAGGAATCGACTCTTCACGGTCTTTATGTACTATATATATTATTATACTCTGGATGGAATTGGAGGACTAACGGTAATCTTGTTTCGTTTCGATACTATTAATATCACGCTGCAAAAAATATGAAAAAAGTGAATTGAAATAAAAAAAAATTAATAATAATTAAAAATGACTTACGTAATAAGCACAAAACTCAGCAAATACAACAACGCGCTGATAATATTGAACATGCCCGGATAGGAGGAGAGTGTAGCATCGTAAACACTAGTATAGAGCGGCGATGCGCCGAGCGGTGTGATTGTCTGCAGCGCAGTAGTGACGGAGAACACCTTGCCAGTTTCGTTTGTGGGCGTGACGAAGGCGAGTATTGTCAGCAGCATAGGTCCAATAATACCCGACATGAAGCCCAGTGCCGTGGCGAGGTACATTTCCCAGAATTGTTGCGCGGCGGCACGCACCGTACTCTCACCAACCGCGGAGAGGAGAGAGAGCATGGCCATGCTGACGATAGACAGGCGCAAATACTACAAACAAAAGTTGTTGTTTTTATATAAAGATTTTGTTTTTACCATAAATTTAAATATATTTACCTTTCTGAACGCAATAACAGCAATAATGCCACCAATAATTTGTATGGCATCGCTAATCGAATTGTAGTCACTGTACTGGCTGACAGTCACATTGAATTTGGCGCGCAAGAACAAGTAGAATACGTTGCCCTCACCAGCTAGAATGCGGAAAAATATTAAAAAATTCATAAAAAATAACGGTAAACTTCCAAAAATACTTACACGTTGTGAAATTGGTTATGATCAATGCGATCATGGAGAACCAGATGAAAGTGCGCATGTAATTGGCACGTCTGGCAACGCAGGTGCGCACCAGATCAATCACATGACTAACGCTGAAGAATTGGCACAGTTTATACTGCAGAAAAAACAAAAAACGATAAAAAAAAAACCATTAGAAAAGCAAATGAAACTGTCACATCCGATCTAACTTACACCCAGCGTTGTGTGCGCCACCTTCATACTCTCCTCGTTCAYAAGGTAGATATATACGAAGGCTAATAGTATTGCTGCTGCCGAAATGACAAATACGACTTGCATGCTGGTGTGTGCGAAGAGTGCACTGCCCGCCAGTGTGCCGATGACGGAACCAGCACCGATGGCAGCATCATTCAAGACCATTCTATATGTGGAGAAAAGTTTCAGTTAGGTAACCCGATTATGATTCCTTATAAATGGTTACTCACTTTAGACCCTTCAATTGTGGTGGCGCCACATCGGCRATATAACAGTAGCAGACGATCATAACAGCACAGGAAGAGCCAGTCACTGCCGGGGGGATTTGTGCAATAACATACAGCCAAGGATTAGTGGGAGATCCCACGGAGACCATGGCCAAGATAAAGCTGACAATATAACCCAGGAAAATACCTAAAAAAACAGTTAGTGTAARAAAAAAATTGATAACATTTTGTGTAAAGTTTGCATAGCTACTCTGAGTTTTGCGGCGATTCTTTAAAATACARCTTAATTAGGCTTAAAGAACCCGTTTATATAGATGTTTATATAGATACAAAGGATTTCGTACAGCAACTTTGAAGGGTTAGTTKGTATGGCAGCGATGGTATACTGATTCGATCTGAAGAATTTCTTCGGAGATTGTACCGTTAACTTACCTAAGTTAACCTATACTGAAYTTCGTGAAGATATCTCGTTAATTGAAAAAGTTTTCCATAGAAGAACTGGATTCCGATCGTTAAGCCTGTATGGCAACTAAATGCTATAGTAATCCGATATGAGCAAATTCTTCGGAGATTGCTTCATA